GCAGGTCTCTGACTCAGACCCTTTCTCTCTCCCTTACTTCCTCTAGCTCCCAACCTCCTGGAAGACAGAAGCTCCAGTCTGGAATATATATAGGAACCCTCCACCCATTTTAAGGGTAGATCAGTGTCACAACCCATTGGGATTGATTCAAATTTTAAAGCGTTTTACTGTCACAGGGGGATTAGCTTTAGAGCCATTTCTTAGTGGTGTTACAGTTAATGCCTTATGCTTATGTAGAATTACATATCCTATAAAGGTTAAATTGGTTTATCTTGTCTCCTTCCTCTCAAAAGGCCCTATGCGAATTCCAATTTCTACATATATTTAGGCAAGTGAGGGGGTAGAGTAGGAAAATTGGTAGGGACAGGAGTTAATGGATTTTACTAGATGCCAGTGAGTTATGAATACATGATGACTGGTAACTGGTAGAATCTGCTGTGTATTTAGGCAGACACCCAGGGCAGAGTGGCTGCCAGCTCACCCAGTTAGGAATCATGCACTTCCAGAAGTAGAATAGGAGCCTTCCATGTCCTGACCAGAGGAGACAGAATTACACTACCAAAATAAGTCCTTGCCTAAAAGGGATAAACAAGAATTTGGAATGTTGGAACCACACAGAAAAAGAATGGCTAAGGTTGTGGGAAAGGCAGCCACTGGATGTGAATTTCCAGTGGGGTCGCCTTTCAACAGACGGAGCAGACTCTGGGAAAGAACTGAAGAGTAGCTTGAATCCTTTGGGGTCAGTGGCACTCTAGGTCGGTTGTGTGTGTGTTGGGGGGAGTTACGGTTCTGTGATCAGGTTTGGCGAACATTCGAGATAGAAACCACCAGGATGGAACTGGCAATAAAGAAATTACTTTAATATTGGCAAACACAAGGGTAAGAGGTGGCCTAACGTGCAGCTAGTCTATAAATTAGGGGTGGCGCTGGGAGAAATGTAAATCAATATTTGTAAGTACTCTGAAAACACAGTTATTTAGTAGTAAATAGAATAAAACTGGCAATATTGTCACATCAAAATTCTTCAGTCAAGAAACCATAGGGGGGATTCTTGTTGGAAGCAGCAGGGGAAAGAAACATCAGCTGTGCTATACACTGGGCATTGTTTTTGTGTTTTTTTTTTTTCCCTCTACTCTAATGCTTACTATTGTTGTGGGGATTTAAAAAATTCTTGCTAGGTTTCGAATCATCTACCATATCCGAAAGATAATGAGAATACTCAAGAGTTCATTTAGGCCTGTATTTATGAAGCCCTCCAGGTCATCATCACCACTGCACCCAAGCCACTATTAAGTGCTTACTGTGTGCCTGGCTCTGTGCCAAGTATTTAGTGCACCTATCACACAACTTATGAGCGTGACTATTCTTTTTCCATTCACGGATAATGAGACTGAAGTTCATACATTAATTCACTTGCCTGAGATGACACAGCTGGAAAGTGACGGAGTCAGCATTAAAAAATAAGTCTATAATAACTCATGTGCCCAGACTCTTTAACTATGGCATCAGCAACATAACTGTAAATCCATGGGATGGAAATGTGGTAGAGGTGAATCTATTCTTTAGTTTCCATCTGACCCAAGGCCAAGGGAAGAAAGAAAAATTTCTCTCGTGCTCTCACAGGTATCTAGTCCTAAGGAATAGCAGCAGCTCAATTTCAATTTTTTTCTTAAGAGAGAGAGTTGGTGGGGGAGGGGCAGAGGGAGAGGAAGACTCTCCAGCAGACTCCGCACTGAGCACAGAGTCCGCCTCTCTCGGGGCTCCATCTCAGGACCCTGAGATCATAACCTGAGTTGAAATCAAGAGTCAGATGCCTAATCGACAGAGCCACCCAGGTGCCCCTTCTTTTTTTTTTTTTTTTTAACCTTTTTCAAACTTACTATGTGTTTAGGGACAAAGAAGGCTATGCTACTTTGACTTACTTGTTTTTCGGATCAAGGTGGGGGGGGGGATTTACAAATTATCAGCTTTTCACAAAGTCTTCCTTAAAGAAGTCATTTCCAAGCTTTTAAATATGATAGGACCCTGCCTTTTAAAGAGCATATTGCATCTCGACAAGAATGTATGATGGCTTTTCAGTTGCTAGCACTGAGCTTCCAGATCTGCTGTGAAGAGGTTTTCAGTTCCAGTGCTTGGAAACTGCAGGCCTGACAATTCCCTACAGCACCATCCTTGGGGACCACTGCCTTAAAAACCACTTAAGAATTATAAAAATTATAAAATTACACAGTCAACAGACTCAATAAAAAAAAAAAAAGGCTTTTCAGTAAACTGCCTACAATCCCAATTATCCCAGAAAAATAAGAAATGTATTTGTAACAAAGAAATCAATAAACATTGAGGCCAGCAGCTCATCTTCTGTGTTGGGTGAAACCTCAGAGTTAGGAGATCTAAATCTGGTACAATATTCGCAAGGCATTTGGCAACCATCCCCTCTGAGAAGTCTTCCCTGACTCTTCTGGTCCAGTTTATGTTCCCTTCTGTGTCCTCTGCTGACATAGCACAGTGTTATTGTCTGTTTGCTGGCTTCCCTTTCTCTTCAGAGTGCATGCTGCTTAGGCGGGGCTGAGGATTTATTCACGTTTATCACCCAGCACAATGGTCGGCCCAGGGTTGGTGCCAGTTAACGGCTCAACAAAGGGGGCCGATCATCATCTCCGTACTAATGGGACTAACCTTTAGACCTGAACTTCCTATAGCGTGCTGAGGATCTCTGTGCCAGCTTATCATAACCACCTGGTTCAAGGACAAACTAATTTAATTACCAACGGTTAGTACAGGTGACTTTTGGTTTCTTCTTTTTGTTTCTTAGACTTTTAAAAATCTTTAGTGAACAAGTATTGTTTTGGCTAAAAGAAAATTATCTACAGAAATGATCCTTTTTTTTTTTTTTTAAAGATTTTATTTATTTGACAGAAAGAGCGAGAGAGCACAAGCAGAGGGAGCAGTTGAAGGAGAGGGAGAAGCAGGCTTCCCGCTGAGCAAGGAGCCCGATGCGGGGCTCGATCCCAGGATCCTGGGATCATGACCTGAGCCGAAGGCAGACGCTTAACCATCTGAGCCACCCAGGTGCCCCAAAATGATCCTTTTTTTAAAAAAAGATTTATTTGAGAGAGAGAGAGAGACAGCACTAGAGAGAGAGCGAGCGAGCATAAGCAGGGGGAATGGCAGGCAGAGGCAGAAGTAGGCTCCCCACTGAGCAGGGAGCCCAATGTGGGACTCGATCCCAGGGCCCTGGGATCATGACCTGAGCCGAAGGCAGACGCTTAAATGACTGAGCCACCCAGGTGCTCCAGAAATGATCTTTACAAAAGTATGTTCATACTGTATCGCATAAACCACACACTCTTGTAGGCTGACAAAAACTCAAACTACATGAAGCAAAAGAGGGATTATCCACAAAGACTCTGGTGTCCCAGGAAAACCAAGAGCAGGAATGTGGGAGCAGTTGGTTAAGTCCTACACCCCACAACCTGGATGCCCAGCCCATACAGGGCCAATCCCAAGGTTTACTGTAGCTTCAGCCAGGCACAGGATAACCCTTCCTTACTTCCAGCCCCAGAAGTCCCAAAGAGAGAGGTCCCTACCTGGATCATCGAACAGTGGCCAGAGGGACTGTATGATAAATCCCACAGAAAGTCTGTGGGTTGGAGGCATGTCTTTAGAAACCGGTGGGCAGATGCTGGGGTGTCCCAAGCAGCAGGTATCTGTCACACATACTTTTACTTACACTGTTCTCTTGCCCAGAAGCTTCTCCAATGATCAAAATGTTTTCCATTCTTCAAAGCTCCACCTTAAATACCACTTTTTCCGTAAAACCTCTATTGATCTCTACTCACCCAAGTCTGAACTGTATCTTCCTGCCTTTGTGCTCCTCTGTGCTTTTCATTCTGCCTTATTTTATAGTAAATTTTTATGTCTGCGAACTAACAAGAGAAAAGGATGGCAATTACGTTTCCAAGGTATTTTCACACTTTTTTCTTCCAAGAGAGCTTCACCTCCACTTTGTGATAAGGAAACAACACTATCTCCTTTTTACAGGTAAGGAAACAGAGGCTCACAAACGTTAAGTGACCCAGCAGACATGCATAAGCGTGTGTTATAATACAAGTATTCTCTCCAAGGCTTTGTCCACTTGCACCACGATGTTTTTGGAGACAGCAGGATGCAGTAGAAATTTCTGTGTGGTCATCGTTTGGGGAATCAAATAGGGCTGGTAAACAACTGTGGGAAAGATGTATAAAAATACAAAGGAGAGGGGTGCCTGGGTGGCTCAGTCAGTTAAGCGTCTGCTTTTGGCTCAGGTCATGATCCCAGGGTCCTGGGATCGAGTCCCACATCGGGCTCCATGCTCAGCGGGAAGCCTGCTTCTCCCTCTCCCACTCCCCCTGCTTGTGTTCCCTCTCTTGCTGTCAAATAAATAAATAAAATCTTTAAAAATAAAATAAAAATACAAAGGAGAAAGGGTGGCATCATTTTGGCCGGGGAAGACTCTAAGTCTCCTCCAGCCTGCATCCTTCCAGGGCAGACTGTTGGGGCGAGGGTGGGGGATGGGAGAGCGGCTGCGGCATTCCCGTCATTCCTGCAGTAAGCAGATGGGCAGGTGAGCCCCGTCTTGTGGCGGTTTTAGTTCTCATTCTTTCCCAATATTACACTTGCTTTCTTGTGTGAGGTTTAGATATTGGAACTTTTGGTTGACTGAGTGCTGTCCATCAATAATTGCTTGTGCTGCAATTCCTCACATAAATTTATACATTTAGGTCTAAAATTCCAAATTTTGCTAGTTTTTTCTTAATTTCCGAAGTTCCACATGTCCTTTCTTTTCCAATTTAAAGGGAGTCTGCTCTCTTCACGATTCGGTTTCCCTGTCTCTGTGTTAGTAATTTAGTTTGTTAACGTCTGGCAAGGAATATTTGAGAAAAATCTCTCAAAAGAGTAGTAAATCTTATTATTCCTAAAATCTAGTGTGTGAATTCAGGAAGGAAACAACAAAGTTTTAATCAAAGTAAGCAATAATGACAGGTTTATTTAAAATTTCCAGTAGAGAAAACCCACTAGTTTCGGAATAAAAGTACTCAATGTACGAGAGCGTTAAGTGAATATAAAAGATTAGCAGAAGAAAAATAAAACCAAACATAGTACAAAAAAATTTAAAAAGTTTGAAATGGATTTAAACAGGGATGTTCTTTAAATCCTCCAAATATTTAACAGTTACTAGGTTTGGCAAACAATTCACTTGAAAATTAAAGCCTATTTCTGTAAACTCCATAAAAACTGCTTAGTTACATTCAAGCACTCCATACAATTGGTATTGAAACATACAGGCAGTCGATTTCAGAGTAGCAGGAATTACTCATTTGCTCTCACAGTTACATGAATTAAACCAGCTGCATAACTGCTTTTGGAGAGGAAGGGATAGAAGACACGAGAAAAAAAAAAAAAAAAAGAAGTAGGATAAAATCTCTAAAAAATGGAAACACAGCAAAATTCAGACATCAGTTTGTTTCTTGAAAGCAACAAACTGACTCTTTACAGTATATTCTACATTTGCAGTTGTCATTTCCCTCTCCCCCACCCCCCTCAAATGCTCCTAAATCCACTAGTCTAATCAATTCTTAACTTCCAAATAGTCTGTACATATATATTTAGCAAAGAGCATATGCCTAACATTATTCTGACAGCAGTATGGTCAGCATACAATTTTAGAAAGATTACTATGTATATCATCAAGATTAAACTTTACTTAAAAAACAAAAACCGTTACTAAACAAATAGTTTTAAAATATTATGAAAACCCATGAAAAGAAGACTCAACATGGGTTCTAAACCTGATAAAAACACACTTCAGAGAGACTATTAATGCTAAACTTTTGCCAAACGATGACCTTAAAGTGCCAAACACAAAAGAATCTCTTAGGATCGTTTCTCCAATAGATAATTTGTCCCTGGCTTGGCCATCTCTCCTTTAACTATACACGAAGTCCTGCTAAAGGTATGCATTTTAGTTGATTTTACCATAAAATGTTACAATGTAAACTGAACAGGTTCTTGATATCGACAGTATGTTACCAAGGTTTTTTTATTTCTGAATCCAACGGTTGGTCACAGAGGTCAAGTATTATCAAGGCTCCTTGGTCAGTTCTCGATCGTGTCTGACTCATCCATCCTTCAAGTACATGCAAGGCTCAACAGTTTTCAAGAGGCAGAAGCCTGAGGCCATTTAAGACACAGATGAAATAGGATTGTGAGGTGAACCCATCTGAGTAAGAACTTTATCCAGCCACTGGAGCGGGCCATGCAGGTGGATCTCAATCCAGCAGGGGGTGCTAGTAACATCCTGGCGGTGGTATTCTGCTCCCCAACCCTAGAAGACACACTGGAGGTCATTTAACTTGCTTAACTCCGTGGTTAAACTTTTAAGTAAGAAGAGTTCTCATAACCAGACATGCTGATTAAAGACACGGATGCTTTCCATAAGAGAGATGCTTGTGCGCACACACACACACACACACACACACAATTTGGCAGGCAATTTCAGGGGATGGGTGTGTTCAAGGGTCCCTAAAGCCCCTCCATACATTCCAGGTTAAGAGGTACTGGTCTTGGGGAATGAATTTTCAAATACATTATAAGGCTGTTTTAACGAAGGCACTTTTTAACTTTCATTTTCATTTCCCACTATGTTACTGACAGGGTTGGAACAGATATTAAATTCTCATTTTATCACCAAGAAAACAAGGAAAAAGCTATGTTAGACAAACTGACATTCTGCTTCTCCCCCACTCAGTCACTGGTGGTCCTCCTATCAACACAAGAGCTCTTGATCTTTCAATCTCGAAGCAAACTGAGAGAAGCACATACATATCCAAAAAGCTATTACTGACACCTCATCATGGCTTTGAATCAATAGATTCCACCATACACTTGTACAAGAAGGTAGCTTGCCAGACATCTTCAGTATGACTGAACTGGGACACCAAAGTTGCATGAGAGAAAGGCAATCTTGCAATTGCAAAGATCAAAAAAACTCATTGGTGTGGTGGCCAATGGAATATAAGCTCTGATAAACCCTTGTTTCACAAGGGATGTCAGAGAAGGTTGGGTACTACTTCTCTCTGACACCCACCTACTCCAGGAATTTCAAGAAACACATACAAATATCAGAACCTCCAGCTAAAAGCTGTGAGACATGAACTGCCTATGTATATGCACCCATGCATTCCTGCATCTATCAGTACATTGCTAACTTGAAAGGTTTGTGTGCATGTTTCCTCCATTTGATAGGGAGTTCTTTGAAGGGACCAGATCTTACTTACCTGATCTCAAACATCTAGCACAGTGATTGGCACAAAGCAGAAGCCTTAGAGATACTTGTTCAGCTAAACTGACTTGGATTTTTCAGATATATGGGGAGTTTAGTGTGCAAATAATTTATAAAATGTGTGCTTTAAAGTCCAAAATGATTGTCTTCAAAATAGCACAAGATTGGCTATTAATATGAGTAAAACGTTCTGTATCATTTCTCTAAGATGCTAAGTGTGACAAGGGCAAGGTATGCAATCCTTATGATAAAAAAGAACAATACTGTACAAACACTATACAATTTTTTTTGTTGCAAACGTATGATAAGCAGCTGCCCTTTATCAGGTCGGCAGGAGTTTTAAAACAAAATTTGCTGACCCTTAACTCCAAATCCAGCTTCCCAGCTATGTTCATTATATCTTGTATTATCCCCCATTCCACTATATATCACATTATTTTATGATTAAATACATACTAGGGCATTAGCATTGTGAACCTAGAGAATGAGGTGCTTTTTCAATCTTTGCATTAATTCTCTGGAATAGTGCTAAAAATATTTGCTGAATGAATGAAATCTAATACATTTTTAATGCATGTCCTTATATCACACTTTTTATTAGTGTAAAGTTTGTTTTTACTTGTGTAAAAGTGAATAATTAAAATTTAAAGTAGAGTCGTAAATTCTTCTTGAGTGGTCCTTCAGTAATAGTAGACTACCACACTTCCCATCTCCATCCATCCATTTTAAACATGATGATCATGAGGATTAGCAAAGGATCCCTGTGCCTTAATCGCACAGTTAAAATGGCAGCGAAAACTAGAACCTGGGTCTCTTGACTCTTAACAGGTATTCTTTCCTCCATACCAGTAGAACAACAAACAAAAAGAACTGCTGGCAAGTTACTGTCCTCATTTTAAAATTCATTTTAGCCAAAATGCAAAGTCAAAAATTAAACAGTGACTGTCAGTTGTGGATGAGTAAGATCTCTGTAGTCTCACAGGTATATAGAGTATTGGTCAACCTCTTTAAAGGGTAAAAAAAAAAAAACCTTTAAGACTACAAAGGGACCAGACCAGCCACACACAACTGTTGAATAATGTTTTAAGAAAACATTAACAGAACAGAGTCAAAATCTGCTAATATGATTCAAAGAAGTAAGAAAAAAATGATACGCAGGGAAAGGTATCTTTGATCTAAAGGATGTTTAACAAAGGAAGGTTCCAAAATTACCCTCTGTAACACACACATTACAAAACAGGTTTAACAACAAGTTAGGTGAGCTTCTGAAGAGAGGACATAAAAGGTGATTGCCTCACCCAAATATATAATTAGTTCTGTTTCTCGAGGTAACAGAGGATGAAAATTTATCTTTGAGAATTCAGAGACAAGTCAGTCACTAGCGTAAGTTACAACATAAGTTACAACTCATGAAATCTAATCAGATATTTAATTTTTTTACATTTCAATGACATCTTAAAATTTTTTATTTCTCAGAGGCAAAAGAGAAGGCAGAAAAGAGGTTATTGTGAGTAATGTCTTTAACCTTCTCCATCCTCAACCCTAACAATAATCTTAGAAGTAAGGCATCTACTAATCTGTGGGCAAGGGTCTTATTAATTTTTGAATTATAAGAAAATGATGTTTACTGAAAACATTAAAAAAACCTGACCAATCAAAAATAAACCCCAGTGTGATGAATTTTTATTTACAAAAAGGTCACCTGTTTATTGTTGAAACAAAAGCAACAAATGTTACCATCACAAAGGTACTAAAAACACAGAATGAAAAGGTAGGGAGGGTGGGTTTACTGAATTGATCTCTTAAGAAAATGATGCATTTAAATTATACATGTTAAATATATAACAAAATATTTTCTTATGGTTCTACAATAGTTAAAACAGTGCTTATTCGAATAGGAAAAAGCTATTCAAGCCTCCTACACTGTTGACATGTAATACACACTCCTATAATTCTAATTCTATCCTCATAATAACGGACATCCTTACTAAAGTTCAAAAACGCCTCGGTAATAAGTTGGCTTCTACGGACACATAACAAGAAGCTACAGATTTGTACACTGAGGGGAAGTGCAGCAAGTGTGTCGAATCGGAGCTCACTTACCTTTACAAAGCTCATGCGGATGGTGCACATTTTAGTGAGCTCATAGACTGTCTCGAAGCCATGGTTCACAGACTGTGCCAATAACTGAGCGAATTCTTGGTTATTAAAAATTTTCAAACTACACCCACTAGGGATCTTGCAAACAGTAGTGGGGTGAAATCCATGATGGTAGTTGCAGTTCCGACTTTGCACAAAGATGCTGCTGTCGCTGAGGCATTCGGCATACACTTCCCCTCCAACATAGTAAAGATGCACTCCTGTAGGAAGACAACACATGCAATGTCTTCATTATCATTTTTCTCAGCCAAAAAGCATCTGTGTATCTTCAAGATATGAATTTGCATGGATTTAAACTTTGGCTAACTAGACAGATACTCTCCAAATCTTGCACAACTGATAAAATCTTAGTTAACCCTATTAGGTCATACAATGTTCTTTCGTTAACACGTATGTCTAAGAGGCGTCTAGGGAATAACAAAGAAAGGAGGGTCAAGACAAGTAAAAGAACTAGAAAACCAGAGGTGGAGGAAGTAGTGCTGAGAGCTAGAAGATGTAAGGTCCAGGGGAAAATAATTATAAAAATAATTCATACTGTGTGCAATCTGATCTCCCCGAACTACCATCTGCTCCAAACTTCTTCCTGTGACATCTTAAAGTGCCAGGAGTGTAGGAAATTGATCCTACCCAGCCTTTAAAAAAAGGAAAGTAGGGGGAGGGGGGCTCTCTGACAAAGCCCTGCACCATTAAGGGAGATTATTATAGGCCATGCAGCGAACAGAGTCACATCCCATGTGGCTTTAAACAGTCTACTGTGCAGGTAACTCTGGCATATGCCTCAGCCAATGCTAAAACTATTGTCTCCAATCCAATCCAAAAAATTATGTGTTGTGTTTACACGTACACACAATGGCTAAGACTTCTGTAACAATTAAATAGCTGCTGGAACAGAAGCCCACCTTCCTGCCTGATGTCGAGAAAACAATTTAAGAGACAGAGTGTGTGTGTGTGTTGAGTTTTTTCCTGATTATAAAAATGAGGAATTTTCATTGTGAACATTTAAAAAGTAAAACAAAGGGGCGCCTGGGTGGCTCAGTTGGTTAAGCGGCTGCCTTCGGCTCAGGTCATGATCCTGGAGTCCCGGGATCGAGTCCCACATCGGGCTCCCTGCTCGGCGGGGAGTCTGCTTCTCCCTCTGACCCTCCCCCCTCTCGTGCTCTCTCTCTTTCATTCTCTCTCAAATAAATAAAATCTTTAAAAAAAATAAATAAATAAAAAGTAAAACAAAATATAAAGAAGCAGAAAATATCATCACTTGTTCAGTGACACAGAGGCAAGAACTGTTAATAGTTGGACACACTGGATTACAGGTTTTGAGTATCACTAAACTTTCTCTGCAAACATTTAAAGTATCTACACGATATATGGATACAACAATTTACTTTAGCAATTCTCCCAATACTGGACCATAGCGTTGATACTAATTTTCTGTTATAACAATGCCAGTATAAATGTCTCTGGATTATTTTTGATAATATCCTTGGGAGAGGTTCCTGGAAGTTAAATCACTGGATCGAAGGCTCTTGACTCACTTTGCCAAACGACTTTCCAGAATGCTTGTATCAATTTACACCCTACCAGCAGTGTATGAGTGCTTTTCTCGTTTTGCCTGGGCCAGGACTGAGTAAGTTTAAGACAAAAACAAATAAATTAAAATAAATTACAGCTGAAAAACAATATTGTTTTAATTTGCATGTGAGACTGGATATGCTCTCATATGTTTATTAGCCATCTGTTTCTCTTATGAACTTACTGTTCATATTTCTTACCTATTTATCCCACTGGGGTTCTAGTATTTTTATTGTTTTTTTATGAGCTATGTGTAAGCTATAAATAATTTATTTCCTATTTGTTTCCCCATTAGTCCTTTGTATTTTTAATCTACAGAAGTTTGAAAGCTTTGAGTAGTCAAATCTCTTGTGATCTTTTCTACTGCTTTTTATGCTTAGAAAAGTTCTACCTCTTTGATCAAATGTATTTTCTTCTAGCTTAATAGCTTACCATTAAAAACAAAAAACAACAAAATTCAATTCATTAATCTATTTGCATATACGAAATGAGGTCAGGGTTTCTCCCTATAGCCTCACCTAAAAGCTAACTTTGTTACTGCAGGACCACTAGAAGACTACGGATTTGTTATGCTTCACTTAACATACATTAATTTTGAAATACAATATAGTCTGAGTTTAATTTCTTCTACCATTTTGTCTAAACCTGATTTAATTGTAGTTTTCATAATATTTAACCTAACATCAAGATTTTTTTCTTTATTCTCCCATTAAAAAATTTAGCTATTTTCACTTGTTTATCCTGCCAGGTAATATCAGAGCACATTTTCCCACTTTCAAAAAAATAACACATTGTGATTCTGGCATGGGTTGTTTTAAACCATAAACTGAAATTAGGAAGAACACACATCCTTAAAATATTCTCATGATATTAAGCCTTCTCTTTAAGGAACACTGCTTATTTATATACCTAAATTTTCTTTCTCTCAGTAAAATTTGGTTTTCTTTACATAATTCTCATGTATTGCTGATTCAGATTATTTCCAAAAAGTTACATTTTCTGTTGCTATTGGAAATGTGATTTCCCCCTCCACTATATTTTCTAACTGGTTATTGCCAGATTAAATAAAACTGGCATATAGTTTCTAAAAATAAATTCTTTAGAAGTTTCTAGATAAACCACCAGAACTTTTGAATAAACACAAGGACCATAAATATTAGCAGGTCAGTATTACTTATGTCAGTAATACTAACATGGGTGAAGGAGGAAAGGCACTCATACACAGACTTATGGTGCAAGTGGCAAGTAATAAAAGCTTTCTGGAAAGTAATTTGGCATAATATATCAGGAGCTTTCGACCTACTAATTTCACTCCAAGAATCTATCCCAAGAATATTATCAATTAGTTAATCACATCATCTGCAATATTGATAATTTTGGCTTACTTCCATTATCGATAACTCTACATTTGAATACATTAGTCAAGGCATCTGGACAATTTTAAATAACCGCATTCCCAGAATCCTTATTTTCTTCCTATTTTTTGTTTTTTTAAAGTAGGCTCCACGCTTGGCATGGAGCCCAATGTGGGGCTTGAACTCACCCTGAGATCAAGACCTGAGCTGAGATCAAGAGTCAGATGCTTAACCAACTGAGCCACCCACGCGCCCCTCTTCCTAATTTTTAATAGAAATGTTCCAGAGTGCAATGGCTTTTTAGTACTTTGGGGTAATGGTCAACTTCAGAACTTAGGGAAAAATATATCCCTCCATCCCAAATGTATGCAAAATTGTGTTTATGTACAATTTACAGGGTTTACAGATCATAGATCTCTATGTTACAAACCTAGGTTCTAGCATTTCATCATCAAATGTGGAGGTTAGGGTTTATTTTTTCTCCCTTAATCATATAAAGGAACTATCTATTAATTCCTGTTTTAGGCTTTTTTTTTTTTTTTTTTTAAGGATCAAGTGTTGTATCTCAAATGCCTTTTAAGCATTTATTAAATAACCACTTAATCTAGTCCACTATTCTAAATTTTATAGGTCATTTTAAAAAAATGTTTACCATAGAAATAATTTCAAACTTACAGAAATAGAACAGCCAAGAGAAACGGAACAAAGAACACTCATATAACCACTATCCTGATTCATCTACTGTGACAAGTTTGATCATTTGCACCTCCTTCCCCTCTATGCTTTTACACACACCTTCGTATGTATTCATATATACACATCCACACATATATACATGTATATGCATAGATCTATATATATTCTGACCCAGGATTTTTTTTAGATGGACAGATCTCTCTACTTATCTACATGTTTGTGTGTATATACATAAGCGTGTGCATTTCCTAAGACTAGGGATGTTCTCTTACATAGCCACAGGACAGTCAGCAAAGCCAGCGCATGTACCATTGATGTAATAGTCTTCCCTAACCTATCACTCGTGCTCTAACTCTACCTGCTGACCCCAGTAAGGCCCTCTGTGGTATTTTTTCCCCTTTCTGGGACAGATCATTACACAGCTTATTGTAATGTGGGTCAATGGGTCAGCTTATTACACAGCTGTCATAGCTCTTTAATCTCTTTTAATGTGGAACATTTGCACACCTTTGTCTTCTGACGTTGATATTTTGGAAGAATACAGTTCCTCCTCACCCTTTTTAATAGAATTTTGAGTTTGTCTGAAGTTTCCCCACTGATGAGATTCAGACTGGCATTCTCGACTGGAAGTCTGCATAGGTGATCTTACTTCCTTCTCAGGGCATCACATCCGGTGGTATATGACATCCATCTGTCTCTCACTGGTGATGATAATTTTGATCTCCCAGTCAAGATGCTGTCCAATGTCTCCACTGTATGATTACTGATTTTTATTCTCCCTTGTAACTAAGAGGCAGTCTGTGAGGAGACACTGCAAGACCATGCAAATATCCTGATTCTCGCAAAAAATTCTGTTTAGCATCCACTGAGGATTCCCGACTGATGGCTGCAAAATGATGACTTTCCAACTCTAGCACTCACTCTACATTTCCCAACCAGCCTTCCTCATTCATTCCTTTATCCATTTATTATTGGCATGGACTTACAAAATTACTATTGTTTTTCAGTGGTTTAAAATCCATAGCTGTACTTAATTATCTTGGTGCTCAAACCGTCCCAGAATTGGCCTGGGAAGCCCCTCCAAGTTGGCTCCTGTGACATTCCCTCATCATTTTCATAAGCGTTTCTTCACTGTCTGATGTAACAAAATGTTCCAGGCTCATCATTGTCTACCTGGAGTCAGCCCTTTCCCCGAGAAACCCCGGATCCTCTCTCGGTGGGAAATGGTGTTAGAGATGATGGGCCGAGCACCAGATGTGCTTACTGCTCCTGGGTGTCTTTGCTTGTTGGCCCTTTCAGCAGACAGATCACAAACTACATGCATGTTTGAGCACACCTACATACGCACAAGCACGCACACGCACACATCCACGAGAACATAAACATGCATACACATATTATTAAATCATCATTTCACCCTGATACCTCCACAGGGTTTATCTTTTGCCCTCCTCCACACCTGTATGTTTCTTATTCCATAGTGAACAGCCAGGCTCTCAGCAACATCCACACACTCAGTCATTTGCTTCATCTTCTATCTCAAAGTTCCCTATTTTATTCATATTGCTACCAGATAATCAAGCCTACTAAAAAGGGTTCAGGATTTGTTTGCAAGCACTCTACCCTACCTGGCCTGGCCTGGAGATTCATAGCCGAACACTATATTCATAAGTTATTCTGGATTGGTTCTTTCTTTTTCCCCGTGAGTTACAGTACTCATTTGAAACACATTAGGTTTACTTGTTTTAACTTGCGTTTAGTTTTAGGTTGTAAGTCACTTTCTAACAGCTGCTTTTATCCTGCAGCAAAACGTAAGCTAGAGCAGTGCTCCCCAGATCACTATTTCAGCTAATTAATACCAACTCCGATGAGGCGGCAGACCACGAAAACTGCTGATTGGGAAGTGAGCAACATCCTGCTGATAGAAACTGAAAGAATATTTACCAACTGGAGCCAGTGTTTCCTACCTGGTGTTTGCTATACAAGTCTGCTCTAGGAACAACTAAGTGGGTTCTAGGGGAACAGGGACACAAGAGACAAACATCTGAAAGAGGTTCGAGCGCAAACTCACCTTTTCCAATGTGCCGCCTGGTGTTTTCAATAGTGGAATTCCGGTTAACGTTGGAGAGCAGCCCAAGGCAGAAACGGTTCTTATTGTTGGAAGGATCGGTGAAACCATCCACCAACACACTTGTGGAGGAGGCGTGGAACGCTTCACCCACACGATTATTGAGCTCATAGTAGACAATAGAGCACCAGTGTTTTGGTTCCTCATAAGCAACCGCCTGAACATCTGTAAGAAAGAAAAGCTTATAGTCAACCTCGGTTAGTGCCTCGGGCTCTCAAAAACTGAAACTGTGTTGTAAAATCGGCTCAGGATCATGGAATGAAGATATGGAAAAGCAAGGGCCATTATAACGTATACGGTTTCTCTATGACATCCAAAACAGGTCCTCCTTACTAAGTGTGACATTCCCCTTTAATTGGAAAATAATTTTCCCCAATTACTATCAGATCACCAAAACGCCAGCTAAGCAAGCATACCAAGAGCACTTGCTGAACACTCACAATATGCTACTCGCTCCCCACCACAGACGCTGGCTCCCCATCTAAAGAAATACAAGTGGCAAATGAAAAACCAATGGGAAGAGCACAATAGAGGACAGGAAATGTGCCAAAGGTGCTGGCAGAAAAAGGGTGACCTTCAACAAAGCCTTCACAGGCCTAGGCTTTTTTCAAAGCAATGAAAATCAGTTTCTAATGATTGATAAGCAGTTCCCTTACTTCACATTCAGCTGCCAATAACGATCACAGCCGCAGCTCGGCTCCAGTCCTCAAACGCAGGAAGAAATCTTGCCAGCTGGCCATTTTTACAGAATGAATCATATCTCGCTCATCCAGATTTCATGCTAACTTCCTTATATTTGCTTTAAGTCATGCAGAGCAGGTGTGTTTTGTCTCTCCATTCCCAGAATGGGCCAACAATGGAAATTACCCAACTTTACTGACAGGATGCAGCTTGTTAAGTCAAATCTCTTAAGACTAACAAATCTCCAAACAGAACATGCTTCTAAACATTTGCAACGAAAAGGTTCTAAAGATAAGTTCCTTCTGTAGTAAAACTTCTTATACCACTGCTTTAGAGATTCCAGGAATACAAACCACGTATGCCCAGTATGCCAATACGTAATGATCTGAGGTTTACGAGGTCCTGAGCGTACAGTCGTAAAAAGAGAAAGAATATCCGCATTAGAAGCACAAGCTGTAACTGCTTAGGAAGAAGTACTTCTGTGTTCTTAACATCAACCTCCACGGATATCCCGATGCACTTAATTTTAGCATTCGGTAAAGAAAACAAAGAAAACGATCATTAAAAAAAATCCACGCATATGTTAGCCGCTCTATACACTTAAGCACGTGAGCCCAATACAGGCGTACGCTATCTTCTCTGCTGAGCAACGATCCCAGGTCAGCTTGCTGTATTTCAAAGCGCAAAATTTTAGTGATTTACCTAGCGCTAAATCTTAAAAGAAGGCTGCGACATCATTAGAGAAGGCTTTTATAAGCTATTGGGATTGTTCAAGATACTATTCGTTTAGGTCGGAGGATGACACATTTTTTCCTGTAAGAGACCAGAAAGATTTTGTGGGCCATCTGGTCTCCACTCCAACTATTCAACTGTGCCCTAGCAGTGCTAAAGCTGCCACAGATCATATGTAATGGACGTAGCTGTGCCCCCGTAAAAATTTATTTACAAAAACAGGCAGCAGGCTGAATTGGTCTGCAGGCTGTAGTGTGCTGACTCCTGCCTTAGGAAAGCCAACAAAGGTAAAACAGTAACAGAAAGGCCAACATTCCTTCCTCATGAAGATATTAACTGTAAACCTATTCTAATGGGGAAATTTCAAAAAGCTCTTTAAAGGAAAAATTTTATAGCAACCGAAAGGCCTGTTTCCTGACAGCAGACATTTTAGGCTTAACCACGATCGCCACAGGGTCCACCCGCTCCTCACTGGACAGCGGTGCTGTGCCCATCCTCTCCTGCTGTCCTGTTCCCGAAATACAAACTCCAAAGATGGGCGAGACAGTTTTTTTTTTCCCTCAACCAACATTTTTATTTTTTGGTTGATAATTATGTTTGGGAGGTTGTTCGAGAGATTATGAGGAACCATAAACTACAGAGCCAGTAGGACAGATGTAAAAATATTTTACAGATTAAGAAGTTGTACATTCCAATTTACTACACTGCACATCCAAGAAAGGTTCTTTAAGTTTACCATCAGGTTTTAAGAACTTAAAAAAATGTAAGCAACCCTGATAAAGTCTGAGGTACCTCCCATTTTAATAAAAAAGTAGTAAGAATGAAATGAGACATACACCTAGTAATGAGATTGCACTGTAACTTCAATTTGCATCAAGTGCATACATATTGAGAAATGGTCCATGCCACGGGGCACCAGGGTGGCACCTTCTTCCACGAGAGGCTGTTCGCGAGCAGTTTTCTTCAACAACATGGTCATGACCTCCTAAGGTGCTCAGGGACTCTCCCAACAATCACTGACCCGCGTTCTCTGCTCGGCTGGGCCCACACCACTTGCCAGTGCGGAACGAAGGCGTTCTCCCCTCAGTCACTGCCGGCGGTATGGTGCTATGACAGGGCTGGAAACACACCCACTCTCTACCAGAAAGGGAAAGAAATGCTCCATCCTGCTTAGAGGTGCTGCTTATGCTCTTCCAGGTGAGAAGAGGAAAAACGTGTGCCTCCGCCCCTTTTTGTAACGAGGTTAGAAACAAATAAATACAGCAAGAAAGAAACAAATGTTCTATTAGTTTGTTCCAGCTGCAGCTGTATATGGATGAGGGCTGGAAAATAATGGTATTGATGAACATCAACAAAAGAATCTTTGGAAAGCCTTGTCGTACGAACTTCTAATTTTGGAAATCACCAGTGACAACTCCACTTTAGTAATGTTATGCTCACTGTTTCTTACTACTACCCCTCTGTCCTTCACTTAAAAATATTCTTTTATCACCAATTCAAAATCATCAAGTATTGTGCTCTCAACAGAAGACTGCACAATTGTACTTAGGCCTTCATTAGTTAAGTCAGTGTGTTTGTTCTTCATAGGAAAGATCTATTTGTAATCCAAAAAGTCCTGTCTAGCTTCTCTTATTGAGCTCTTTCTCCAACAGCTATCTTTTTACAGACTAATAAACATTTGTGAGAGAAAGTAACGTTTGGACAGATAAACTTTAGACACTAAAAAGGGAATACACAGCAATGCATTTTACCTCCTCTGTTGATTTCTGAGGGCAGGGAGGGTGCCATCATATTTGTGTCCATTGGCTGAGAGCCATCCTGGGTCATGGGGTCTTCGGGAGGCAGGTAAGCAGGCGGGGGCGTATCAGCTACAAAGTTTAAAGAAAATGATGTCTTTCTCCTTAAATAAACACACACACTTAAAAACATATATTGTGTGAAACTGAGACTGAATTGCCCATTTCAACTCCCCCATCAGAAAATGGCTACTACAGACACTGAACTGGGTATACACTTTCTACAAGTGCCTAACTAACACCTCATGATCTGGTACAACTGTAGTCAAAGTCCAGTGGGAGGAAAAGCACTCTCTGCCAGTTCCAGGAGCCTATCCGGGCTCGTGCTCTCTTTGAATAATCAGAAGAGCATTTAAACACACTTCCATACAATCCACTTTGAGAGGACCTCTGCGTTTCAGTTTCACTGGTGGATGGCAAAGCTACATAGGATTTCTTAAGAAAAAGAGCTTCAGGGTCTCTTCCATTAAACTCATAGGCTCTTAGGAATTTACCAACTGACTTTCATTACAGCCAATTTGCTGACTTCGACTGTTAATTTCTCCTGACTTCAAGCACTCTGTTAGGACTACCTTCTCCCTGCCTACTTTAATAATCACTAGTTTTAAAACCCCTAGTAGCAGAATAATAATCAGTTTATCACAGCTATTTTCTATTTCAGAATTTACGTATGTTCTTCTAGAAAGCTCAGAGCCAGCTGGCAATAAGAGGCAAAGAGCATGACTTTTGAAACAAAGAACACTAATATGGGTCTTGTGTTTTCTTAAATAAAATAAGGGGTTATGGGTTGCCCACAAATAGTCCTTTGTGATCAAAAAGCAAGTCCCTCACTGGCTTTCGGGAGCCCATCTCGCACACCTGACAGGGCAGGGAACAAAGCTTTACCTTAGGGAACCATGAACAACCCGGAGGAGTAGCCGAGATCACTCAGGGCAACTGTGGAATACAAATGGCCAATACTGCTGCTCCTTTAACAGCTTTTCAGAGATTTCCAAGACCGAGTCTCCAGCTGACTCACAACCCAGGAACTCCCACCGTCCAGCTGCCAGCAAGCAAGGACTCACAGCACAAAGACTGGACTATGGGGACCTTATCTGGATGCCTCTGCACCCTTTCTCCGGCTTCTTTTAATTCAGCACCTTCCCCTGCAGCTGTAACACTGACTCTGCTTTACTTCCAGCCAGGAATGAAGACAACGAGCATCACGCCTCTGAGACCAAATCCAATAAATTTCTGCAAATGACCTGGTGAAAATTTCATCAGCAACCAATGGCATCAGCACCACTGGGAGAGACCACCAGAGGGCGATGGGTAATACTCTGCTATTCCCGCAAGTGCCTCCTCCCACCCCTGGCCGCTTTCTCTTTTCCACGTTTCCTTTACGTGGCCTGTAGCCTTAATCCCTCACAGCCGGGGACAAAGTGTAAACTCGGGCAATAATCTTCCAGTTTTTCACTCTTGGGTCCACCCTGGCTTTGCCACTGCTCAAAAGCTTCTGAAACTCTCTCTTCACCACTTACCTGTTCATCAAACCCAACGGGTCTGGGAGAGAGTGGGGTGAATAGGAGATCACCAGATGATACTTAGTTTGACTTTTAAACTCATCTATATCCCTGCTGCCCTGCCTCATCCTCAACAGTTTTGGATTGAGAAACAAAACAATGCAAAATAAAAGGCTCAAAACCAAAAGAAGTCATAAATATGGAAATAAAAGACAACAGTATCAAGTGTGGACCACTTTTCAATTTTTGAGGACCTACCAGCACAGTTGTCAAATTCACATTTACTTAAAAACATTTCAAGTGGCTTAACAAACAGGCCTGCCCGCCCATTTTTCCCTTCTTGAAGTATTAATCAATGTTAAGTACATCTTTGTGTAGAGCATCCTTCTTGAAGTCTACTGGCAAGAAATTTGGCACTAATCATTTTTTGTGAGATGCTTGCTTACTAACCTATAATTTGAAAAATATAATGTCCTAATTAATCATTTATTTTTATAAACATTACACCATCAGTTAAATCTAAAAAAGAATAATTGTTTTTGTCTTTGCTAAGTTAAACAAGCAGATGGTCTCCAGTACTTTTGCTGCATTTCCTTTGTTGCTAAAGTATATGTTTCTTGGGATTACATCACCACTTAAATGAATTTAATTAAGTAGGGGGGTGTGAACCCTCAGGAAATATCTTTTCTGAGGTTGCACTTACAACAGGGGTTTTTTCCCCCCAGGTACAGCAATGTGTGCAACACATTATTTTTCTCTTTCTCTCTTTTATCAAGAGCAAAGACTGTAACAATTATGCCACTCCTAGAAGGATGCAACTGTTTCAAAACCCTTCCAAATCAAAACTTATTCAAGCTTCTGTGCCTGACAGATAAAACAGGACATTTGCTTGACCACAGCGGCATCCTGCATCTGAGAGCAGAGCGCCATGTAGCAGAGCTGGAGAGCGCTCTGCGTGCAGGTGCACCCGGCTCCCCCCCCCCCAACCCTTGCAGCAGCACTGTCTACCTGACCCGAACGTCGTGGAATGTTCCAACCCACCTGGCATCTGGAAAGGGCTTCCTGGGTCTGAGCTGGTGGGAGAGTGCGGGTAGGTACCACTGCTGCTTCCAGGAGAGTTGGGGTAGCTGCTACTGGGGGAGTGAGGGAACGGATGGCTGTTGGGTTGCTGGAAAGAATCCGGGAAGGTGGCGTTGAGGGGCATGTGAGGCTCATTTTGTCCTAAGTTACGGAACTGAGCTAACAGGCTGTGCTGAGGATTATATTCGCTGTGTCTTGGAACCAGCACTGGAGGAAGAACTGGAAAAAGGGAAAGAAAAGCGAGAGATAAACATGGAAATGATGAATATCTGTAATAACGTCACAATGAACCCTGCCCTGCTGCCAACTCAAAATCATCATTCAAGTGCAAAGCACCTTTCACTCAGGAATAAATGTGGTAACAAATGGTCTCTTTAGAACGGCTGCGACGTAGGCCCGAGACCTGCAGCACAAACTGCCCAAGGAAAGTCTGCAAAACACCTTCTATGTTAAAAATGTTAAGGCTGGTTAGCCTGGTGATGCGTATTAAAGAGAGCACGTACTGCATGGAGCACTGGGTGTTATACGCAAACAATGAATCATGGAACACTACATCAAAAACTAATGATGTAATGTATGGTGACTAACATAACATAATAAAAAAAAAGGTTAAGGTTGCCCCATTCTTAATGTTTTCATTCACTAAAAACCGAAGCACAATTAAGAACATATACCACCGACGGTTCCACGCTCACAGCTCTGGTTGATAAGATATAACGTTGAAAGAGTTAATACTTACTGAATGGTATGGATTATTCACCACAAATGTTTTAAATTGACACATTAACTCACTTTAAAACAAAAGGAGGCACAGTAAATAAGATTGAGAGGATAAATACAGTGAGCAGCATAAAATCCAAATGCCAATGAAGGTAGTTAATTAGATAAAATATGATGTTGTGTGGGACAGACTTTATGTTGTGTCCAAGTAGTCACACTTCACAAAAAACCTTTTCTCTGAGGATATTAATGCATATAACCCACTTCTCAGTAATCCTCAGCACTACCTGACAGGCAAAGGAGAAAACGGGTTATACAATCCACATTTTGCTAACTGGATACTCAAAGTATAAAGGCCAAAAACATACATACCATTAGAGAAGGAAAGAAAACAGCTCAAGTCATTCCTAAAAGTTCTGTATGGTAGGAACCTAAGGAGTTAATAATTAGCAGGGTCTGCAACCTCCAGAAACCTCTAGAGGCAAAGGCACTATAAATAACTCTAAATAGGATGCTAATCGAAGTGAAGGCCTGGGTAACAAGCCCTAACTGGGTTAGATCCTCAACTTCCCACCACAGTCTCCAGACAGCTCCTCCCCAGGAACAAAGGCCCTCAGAACCCCTACTACTCTCATGGCCTTGGCTAGAAAAACCACCCATTTGGAAATCTGCATGGAGGAGAGGGGAGGAGATTTAAAATCTGCTACTGTTGTTGGGAGCTGGAACTCAAGAATATATTCTCCCCAAGAAACAATATTTAGTGGCATTAGGGATTAAGTCGATTTTTGAGGGCTTTCCAGGGATCTATCTGTAACTTACACCATTTCTGCAGGAAAATGTGCCCTGAACACTTAGATTATCACTTACTCATGAGCTGGAGATTGTTTTAAGTAAAAATAGGTTCTTGAAGGTCTTAAATGGTCTCACAAGCTATATCTTAAATTGCAGATCTGTAGAAATAAATTCCCCACTAACTGATCCTTTAAAAAACGAATCTTTTTAGTATAATACATGTATTTCCTTTACTGCACAGTGATGGAATCTAGCCAAATTAAGTCATCAAAAGCTTAAATCCTCCTCCTACCTTTCAATAGTCACCTGAAATATAAACTATTTTGATGAAGAAAAAATTCCTAATTGTCATAAAGGCTCCCCCAATGTCAACAGAAATCTATATTCCAAAATAAACAAAGGCTCTGAAATAGCACAATGCCTGTGCATTACCCATGCAATTAAAAACAGTCTTTTTGGGGCGCCTGGGTGGCTCAGTCGGTTAAGCGACTGCCTTCGGCTCAGGTCATGATCCTGGAGTCCCGGCATCGAGTCCCGCATCGGGCTCCCTGCTCAGCGGGGAGTCTGCTTCTCCCTGTGACCCTCCTCCCTCTCGTGCTGTCTCTCATTCTCTCTCTCGCAAATAAATAAAACCTTAAAAAAATAAAAAAATAAAATAAAAAAATAAAAATAAAAACAGTCTTTTTCTTTGAGCGGCTGCCGCTGGACTCCCTACTTCCCAGCTTGCCTCTCATGGTCATCTAGCGATAGTCTCAATTCTGATTAGGGCCTCTAAACCCTGCCCCCAAAATGCAGCACCAGACGACACCTGGAATCCATCCTCCATCTTGACCCTTCAAAGGACACCCCCCAAATACACACGCACACTCTACTTACTGGAGCCCCTGTTTCAGCGACTCCTATTGCCTATAATTTGAGAACTGGGAATTTGCTTCTCATCGCTCACAGATGACAGTGGCAGGAGGAGGAGGCAGTGTAACCTCGAGTTCGTGTTTGGTATGTGTGTTCCTGCAGCAACTCTGTTGTGTGCTGTGGTGGTCTGGCTCCAGGCGCAGTGCCGTCCTTAGTCCACAGCACAGATGACATCATCAGCTTTTGCAGGTGACCTGGGAATGAGCCACCAACTACAGCAAAGCACCACCCTACAGATAAGCTGGAGGAGAAAAATAACTTTTTCCTCACCTCTGATTAGTAAGATCAATTTTGCCACTGCCAACACAGGTACAAGTATCTTTATTATTTTTTTAAGTGGGCTCCACGCCCAACGTGGGGCTTGAACTCATGACCCTGAGAGCAAGAGTCCCATGCTCTACAGGCTGAGCCAGCCTGGTGCCCCAGTACAAGTATCTTTTAATAAACTTTAAAAAAATGTATTGAGGTATCACAGATCTGTAGTAAAATGCACAAGTGTTCATATAAATGGAATAATATATACTCTTGAGTCTGGGTTCTTTGGTCCAACACTATGTCTGTAGGGGTCATCCAATGTTGTGTGTGGCATCTTATTATATGCATATTATGATTTGTTTACTCAGCCCCCCCATCTAACCTCCTTAAAGGATAATCAATTTCTTTTTATCCCCTGGTTTATCCTTCCTGTATTTCTTCTTGAAAAAGTTAAGCTGACAAATACGTGCTTTCTTTTGTCTTTACTACTAAACAGGAAAACAGCCTACTCTATATATTGTTTTGTACTTTGCTTTATTCACCTATATCCTACAATTAACTTACTAATTTAGAGAGATCTTCCTCATTTGTTTTTGCAGGTAACACAGCACCATAGTTTCTTCAGCCAATCTCCCACGTCTGCGCAGTTTACAATATTTTACCACTACGCGTAACACTGCAATGAATAACCCTATGCACACATATACTGCTGTATTGTTAAAGGAGTACCTTCTGGGTAAATCCCTAGAAGTGGCCATACTGGATGAAAATGAAGATACAACTTTGTTGTTGTCAAGCACCCCTTCACGGGGGTTGTGCCATTTCGCATTGCTACCAGCCATGTGCGAGAGTGACTTTTCCCCCACAGCCCCTAGGACAGACTATTTTGTCAAGATTTTTTTTTAAGGAATTTTTTTTCTTTTTCTTTAAAGATTTTATTTATTTTAGACAGAGACAAAGAGTGGTGGGCAGGGGCAGAGAGAGAGAACCTATAGCAGACTCGTGCTGAGTGCGGAGCCCGAAGCGGGCCTTTACCCAATGACCCTGAGATCCTGACCTGAGCCGAAACCACGAGCTGGACGCTTAACCGACTGAGCCATCCAGGTGCCCCAAGACTGGTCAAATCTGATGGGTGAGAAATGGTATTTTGGTGCAATTTTAATGTATATTTCTCTTATGGTGAAAGTCGATCATCTTTTCATGTATTTCAGGGGGTATTTTAACATACGGCTTTGCAAATGGTCTGCTTGTGCCTTTTGCCCATTTTTTGGTCTTTTCATTTTTCATTAAAAAATATAAATAAATATATATTAGAGCTCTTAGCCTGTGCTATTTTATATGTTACAAATATTTTATCACAAGTTGTCTTTGACTTTACTTATTTGAAAAAGCTTATTTTTTTTTGGTAATCGAATTTATCAAAATATTTTCCTTTATTGCATATGGGTCTTGAGTCATAGAAAGGCTTCTCCTACACCCAGATTATAAGGAGGAATTCACCCATGCATTCTTCCAGTGCATATAAAGTTTCCTCTTTTACTTAGATCTCTGATCCATCTGTAGCTCAGTTTTATTTATACTATGAGGAACAGATCTAATTTTATCTTTTCCCAAATGGTTGGCCAGTTGCCCCAACACCGTTTATTAAAAAGCCCATCTTTTCCTCAGTGATTGGATTTACCACCTTTTTCATAAGGTTCCATATATGTTAGGGTCTATGTTTAGACATTCCATTCCATCCTATTCTAGTCGGTGCCCCACCACCACTGTGTTAATTATAGAGGCTTTATAGTATGTTTTAATAGCTGATATGGCTAGTCCCCCCTCACAGTTCTCTTTCAATGTTCTGCCTGCATGCTTACTCCTCCATATCAACTTTAGCTATCACCTTGTCTACCTCCAGAAAAAAAGAGATTTTGGTACTTGTACTGGGGTCACAATATATTTATAAATTAACTTATCAGTAAGAACACCTTGATGTTCAGATGTCCCATTCAAAACCTAGGACGGTTTCTTCAAGTCTACTTTTGCACCTTTTAGGAACATTCCATAGTTCCTATCCGTGTTCATCTGCTCGGGCTGCCATAACAAAATACCACAGACTGGGTGGCTTACAAAACAGACATTTATTTACTCAACGTTCTGGTGGCTGGAAGTCTGAGCTCAAGGTGTTGGCAGGATGGTTTCTCCTGAGGCCTCTCTTCTTGGCTTGCAGAAGGCTATTTTCTTCCTGTGTGTCCTCACATTGCTTATTTCCCTGGTGTCTCTCTGTGTGCCCTAATCTCCACTTATAAGGACAGATTGGATTAGGACCCACCCCAATGGCCTCACCTCAACTTTTTTTTTTTAATTTAAATTCAATTAGCCAACATATATTACATCATTAGTTTCAGATGTAGAGATCACTTTAACTTTTTAAAGGCCCTATTTCCAAATACAGTCATATTCTGAGGGACTTATGATAGGGCTTTGACATATAAATTGGGGGGGGATGAACAATTCAATCTAGAACACTGCATTAGGTTTCATACATTTATTAC